AAACAGATTTATTTGGTTTTCCTATGACTGGGGGACGTGCTGATATTCATTTGAAAGATCTCGTCAGAGAAAGCAAGTCCAGGATGAACAGAGTTAAGTGTAGGTCAGAGCAGCGGACATGCCCACACAGTGTCTGGCGGCACAACCCAGCACTGACACTCTGGTAGTTTAAGTCACAGAGATGGGTAAATCTACCTAACCTGGTGAAGGCTTCCAGAGACGATGGCTCCTTCCTCCCTGCAAAGCCTTTTGGGAAGAAGGGAAAAGGCAGAAAACGCATACTCACTGCGTGTGTGTAACAGTTGGCAGCATGTTCGTAACAAGTTGGTTTGTAGCGGCCATTGGCTGGGGCCCGGTGGTTCATGAACCTGCAGAAACAAAAAGAGCATGTGAGAACAGCTAACCGCATGTGAAGAACAGTGGGTGGGCTCCCCGGGGTTGTTTTGCCTCTTCTAAGTGAAGAGGTGACTGCTGGGAACACCTAGTGAGGGCAACAGAACCAAAGCCACTAAACAGGTGTAAACTGAGCCCACAGCCATGATCTGAAAGCAAATGCCCTAGTTTATTCTTTCAGTTCATTCAAATGAAAAACCTACCAACCCAAGGCAAACAGACACCATATTCACCCCTTCAACTGATACCCAACCCCCCACACACACAGCATAACCATATCTGAACTCTTAACAGAAAACAAATCAAGGGAATTTTTCTAAACTTTACAAATTCCAGTAATTGCCATTAAATGAAAAGGGTTACAATGCATTTGAAAGGTTTCTATTTTCTCTCCCAAAATTCACAAGGCTTTATACATACAGATCTTTAAACCCTACATCCCACAATTAGCCAGCCTGTCCAACTAGTTTCACTCTGTTGCACTATCTGCTTTCGGCATTCGACAGCTTAAATAAATGATACCTGGCTGCCCCTAGGCCACCTAAACGAGAGGTACATTTTCACCAGCATCCTTCCTGAATTAAAAGAGTTGGCTTCAAAACCCAAGTACATGACTAGCAGCTGACACTTTGACTATAACATTCAAATACACACAAATACATGCTTTTATACACATGAGATATTCACATTTGTGTGTATCTAAATATCAGAAGCTCTGACACAGGTGGACACATTCCCAGATTCTATACTTCCCTTTGGGCTGACTCTGGCAGTCGGCAACACGGTGAAAAGCATGAACGCCCCAGAACCTGGAGAGACCGACAGCATTCTTCCATTTCAGTGTGTGGCTGAGGGTCCCCCAGCCCACCCACACCCATGCCACATGTCACGAGGGATTCTGGTTTAGTCTGCCTTCTCTGGGAAAAGGGAGATGCAAACTCAGTAACAGAAACAAGTAGCTGCCTGAAAGAAACAGACGCAGAGAAGCAAACGGAGGGGAAGGGGCCCGGGCAGCCTTCAGGTGTCAGCGGCCCGGCTGCATTCCTGCGTCCCAGCCTGCGAGATGTCAAGACAGGCTTTGCACCATCAATTATCCTTTTGCTGGAGCCACTTTCCGGTGGGGGAAGGGCGGGCTTGGTCATTTGCCATTAGGGGTTCTTACTAGTCGCACCTTATTCACGAACACACTGAGCAATGGCACCAGGCTGGAGCACATGGCAGAGCCAGGTGGCCAGAAAGAGGCTAAAACACATGGTCAAGCCGTTCTAAACAGTGTCCAGTTTATGAAGACAAGATCAGCACTTTTTCCTTGAATTAGGAGGGAACATTATTCCTAGAGCAAATAAATGAAAATAAAATGGCAGTCCCAACTGACCCAATCCAGAGTTCAAAAGGAAAATCCACTGGGGAGTCGATTTGGGAGCGTGAAGGACCAGCAACAGGTAGCTCACCTGTGTGTAACTGCGCAGATATACTTATTGAGTGGAATTGACCAGATGGCCCGAGAACTGCTTACGAGAAACACGCAGTTAATGCCCTCAGAATTTATCCCAGCTATTCTCCCACATAAATACATCTTTCTCCCCTGATAATCCCTTAAATAATTTTACTAATTTCCTAAGGGATGAGAGTGTTGCTATACAGCTCTTATTAGTAAAAAAAAAAAATAACGACCCTCTTGGGAAGAACGCTTTAAACGCGTCCCAAGCATTCAAGGATCTGTCACATCAGTACCCTGAGACCTAACAACAGAGCTCTGAGCAGCACACCCCATGAGGGATTTTAAAGGGCAAAGAGCAAGGCTCCAGGACGGCAGAGGCCAGAGTAAAATTGAGAGCGCTCTGTGCAGTAGGGTTTGTCTACCCACCACCAGGCTGCAGACGAAAATAGCAATTTATATCTCTGGCAGCCCAATCTAAAAATAGTCGGACCATTACACAGCAACAAGGATAGACTTTCACATTTTCTCCTAAAAGCAAAGAAGCTGGGTGGCCATGTTTGTTACAGCTTAGTCCCTGCCCACCTGGAACCACTCAGGTTAAAAATAAACTCAGAAGTTGCAGAGAAAAATGTCCCACCCATGGTGACTTCAGGTAGTTTCTGTTAAGGGCAGAGCCAAAGCTGGGCAACAGGAACAGGTAAGAGCAACTACGCTAACAGCAGATCCCCGTGTGGGGCCAGTGGGATAGAGAGCTCAACCATGTTGTTGGGAAATGCACAGTGCAATTTTCCCATTTCTCCCTGATCTGTCAGGGAGCTGTCTACCCTGCTGAAGAAATCACTCCTGAGACCTACATGATGTAAAATGCAAATCAGTTCCCACACACTGAGCCTATTCTCTTCTCCCCACAAAAGAATAAGGTTCTCAAATGTTATGGAAAGCAGCACCCACTTATGCAAGGCCCCTCTGTTGAAGGTGATGTAACCCTAATGGCCACCCAGCACTAGACTCCAGTATCCAGCAGGCTTTGGAGGGTTTGAAGGGTTGGAGGGTGTTAGTCCTGGATATGGAAACCACACTCAATAAAGCTATTGTTTAGGCAGGGGTTTTTTCATTCATTCCCTCACTTTCTCTTTCAACACGCTCACTTGCTTCCCCCTTGCCCAGTGTCCTTAGGCCTACACTGCCTTCCTACCCCCAAGACTGAATCTCAAAACTGGGGGGAGAAAGAACAGATAGGGCCCTAGGGACACTCCTTAGCATACTTTAAATTTAGTCCAAAGGCTGTGCCTGCTGAAGGTAGACGGATCTGAACCCCACAGCAGATCTCAGAGGCCTGAGATCCAGTCCCGGAAACTGTCCTGGATTCCTGGACAGTGTTCCTTATTCCCCAAATGCCAGTGCTGCCAACACTTACCTTCCAAACATATTTCACACTAGTCCACCTCTCTACAGTCCCACAGATCCGACCTAAAATCGAGACACGGACATCTCTGGGCTATACAAATACAAATGCTCTCGCCTGGTCTCCCTGCTTATCCCCACACAGACTCTCCTCTTTCTGCAGCAGCTGCAATCCTCTGTTGAAACCAGATCACATCACACATCCTACTTTAACCTAAAGCCTGCCTTTGACTTCTCAAAGTGGTCTCTGAGTGGTCCACAGGCCCAGAGGGGTCCCCAGCTCTCACTTCCTCCCCAGTCTCAGAGTCCTGCCTTCCTTACTCCGCACCCTCCAGCCACACCACCTGTCTGCTCCTCAAACCACCAAGGCCTTGTCTGCTTCAGGACGTCTGCATGTGCTGTGCATTTCTGCCTAGAACATTCTCTGGAAAGCTCAGCTCTCCTCCCTTTTCAAGGTCAGCTCAAATGTCACCTCCTCGGGTTTTCCTTGCCACCCTACCTAAAGTGTCACTTCAGCCCTCTCCCATCACCGTATTCAGTAAGATTTTTTCAAACTTGTTTTTTTTTTCCATTTCCTCTTTCCCCACTGTAATGTGAATTCCATGACTGCCATCTGCCCCACCATTTCATTTCTGATCCCAAGCACAATGCCCAGTTTATTGCTGAAGCTTAATAAACAGGCGCTGAATGAATGAATAGAAAGACGGACATTGTGGCCTAACTATCTTATCTTAACCAAGAGATACCCCACTGTTACTGGCTTCACTGGGCATGCAGCAGGTTCTGCACAGAACAAAGAGAAACAGACTGTCTTAGAGCCAAAAGAACTCAATCCTGCGTAAAGAAAATTCTTAAAGGCCCAGACCATGGACGTTCTAAGGGCTTCTTCAACCTCATTTGAAAAACAGGGCAACATAAACTAATCCCTGCACATAATACATTATTAGTTCCCCTTTATGAAGTGAGCATATTGCCAGAGGTGGTAACAGTAGTGAGGAACATTTAATTATTAAATAATGGGGAAGGGGTTTTTAAGAACATGACCCACCCTGGCTGGCATAGCTCAGTGGATTGAGCGCAAGCTGTGAATCAAAGTGTCGCAGGTTCGATTCCCAGTCAGGGCACATGCCTGGGTTGCAGGCCACAGCCCCCAGCAACCGCACATTGATGTTTCTCTCTCTCCCTCCCTTCCTTCTCTAAAAATAAATAAATAAAATCTTAAAAAAAAAAAAAGGAACACGACCCCATGCCCACGATTCAGTGTCCTGAGAACAGGTACAAAGAAGACAACAGGCAGTCCTGGAACACTTCCTCCTGCTTCAGAATAAGATGTTCCACCTCCTGTTCAATCTGAATGGTCACAGGACTGGGCCTGAGGAAAGGAGGGCCCGCTCCTTGGATGTTAGGTTGCAAGGCTGGGGAAACGACGAGGCACCAACAAGACAGGGCAGAAGCTGCCGCGGGTCCTCAGCCTCTGCACCGTGCGCACAGATGTTGCAGTGTGCGCGGGGGGACAGAAGGAGGTGAGCTGGCAGCATGGGTGACAAAAGGGGCAAGAAATGGAACCTTTGGGTCTGCCCTTCCCTGGTTGAGTAACCAGGGTAAGTTCCCTTTTATTCTTGGACCCCGTCTGTTTTTTGGTAAATGGGTATAAAGTTTGTCTTCCAGAGTTACAGTTGAGGATTAGATGAGCGATATACAGGGGTGGGCAAAAGTAGGTTTACAGTTGTTCGTATTGAAAAAAGACACGCAGGCGGTAATTATTACGACAGCTTTATCAACTCAAAACAATGTCACAATTGTAAGCCCTCTTTTGCTCACCCCTGTACACAAATACCCACTACCTGGGCAAAGGTTGGCACTCAACGTTAGCAGTTATTCTAATCAGCCAGATGCTGTGAAAGGGAGAGAAGGACTGGGGGTGGGGAGGGGAAGGGAGGGCAGAAATGTAGAAGGGATAAAGCAAAAAAAAAAAGACAATACGCTGGGCCCCAGTGGAATTTTTCATATCCTAAGCTCTTTTAAGAAGCCCTGCGTGCATAAAGCCCCCCACTCAGGACAGCGGGCTAAGTCCTCGCAGCCTTGCTCCACAGCAATGGCAGAACGCTGCCGGCTGACCCAACGTTACGAGGACCGCCAAGTGTCCATTATGAACAAACCAGCGGAGTGTTCGGGTTTTCTTGTAATTTGGGCAAAGCCACAAACTATGGCCTGATGAAATGTGTTTGCTGCAATCAAATGCTCTTCAACAGGGAGTCCTGATAAAATCTATCAGAAGGCGCACACGCGTTAAAGACAGTGCCTGCCTTCCCTCTGTTCCTTTGTAATTTACCTACTTGCAACTGCCCCAAACGCTCAAAAGACATATAATGAACACGGCTTCACAAGTTGAGGAAACAGTACTCCTAACATTTCAGTGTGTGGACCACAAAAACCAGGACTTTTTTCATAGTATTACTTTTTCCTCTCAGGCTTCATTTCTAAGCTCAAATTGGCCCTCAGAAATAGTAGTCTTTCCAATCTAGTCTAGGATACAAAACCAAAAAACTATGGGATGCCTCAGTCTTCAAAGAAAATCAGGGTAGGTCTAGATGTCATCTAGAAAATAACTATTAAATAGCCATGGATATTGTGCATCCACTGGGAAAATTACAAAGTCTATGCCACAGCAGAAGAAAATACCTCTATTTTTTTTCATTTTTAAATGAATAGAGCGTAAAATCACATTACAACTGTAATGGGTTAGGGTCCAGCAAAAAAACATATTTCAATCAGGTGAGACAGTAGGATCCTAAATGAAGTGTTTTTTTTTTCTTTTCTTTAACACTGTTTTAATGTTTGTGCACTGAAGAGTGAAACATGGTCTTTTCTTTCTAGAGTATAATTCAAAGGATAGGAAAGAAATACAAACTCTTAATCAAATAAGGAAGGGTAATTTCACGGAATATTGCCACTGTTCTCTGAAAACAGGAAGAGCACAAACATGCAGACATAAAACCAAATCAAACAAACCACATGCACAGGGCTCTGCCAATCATGCCTGAGCGCCTGTTCCATTCTCCCTCCGAAAGCCCCCCAGTCTTCATTCCTGCCTTCGTGGTCTAAAGCCAGAAGAGCATTGTGGCTCCTTTTTGCCTTTAGACGCACTGATATGATGTTCCCAGTGGAGGAACAGTGCCAGGCATTCAACACCTTGAGTGATATTCAGAAGTTAATCCAAGTCTTCAAACTGATCGCCCTTCTCGTGGCAGACTCCACCACAACTCTTCCTCTGCATTTTTGGCTCCTTTAGCCTTTGGGACTTGGAGGGGGGAGGAATAAAATAAGCACAATGGGTGAGTGGGCATTGAGGGATTAGGAAATCGGAAAGACCAATGCACTTTAAGTATTTAAAATAGAAGGCCATGGCTGCACAGTCAACAATAACCTCCTCAGAAGACTGCGTGCATTCCTTTTCTTCTCTCCAATTCCCCCCGTCTCTGCACGCTTAGCTAGCTTCTAGCTTGATGGTGAGGTCTGGGAATGGGAACAGCTGCCGGATTCAGACAAAGAGATGGAGAGTTACCACAAACACAGGGGAGGTGAACTTTCACCTACTTAAACGAAGAAGAATTAGAAAAAAAGCTCAGCGCTTCCTCTCTGAACCTTGGGCCAGCCTCCATCAGCGGCTCAGACCCGGCGTCAGGGTTAAGGCCACAGGGTGCCTCCCGGGCTGGCGTTCCCACGGTCTCTCCAGTCAATGAGCAGCCTGCCATCCTTCCGGTGGCGCCTTCTCGTTTCCTAACACAGGCACCCCAGCAGCAGATCGTACCACCCAAATGCTAAGTTGGCCCTTCGCAACGCCCAAAATAGCACCGCCCTGGGGCGCTAAATAAGCCTAAGAACCCTTAAGGCCTGGACGTGGCCAGGCAAGCTAAATCTGTGAAGTGTGCCTCAGTTTCCCTGTTGCCAGGGCCCTTTAGAGACAAAGCACAAAAACGCCCAACATCCCAGCTTTACCACAGATCATGCTGCAGGGCGCAGCAACTATCCGGCCCTGCTTCTTCCAGCACCGGGAGCCCCCCCACGCTGTGGATAAAGGGGTGGCAGCCAAAGCCAGGGTCTGAGGACTCCGGGCCGCACCTGCGGCTGGGATTCGGGTCTAGGAACAAGCAAGAGTCCCGCCTGGACGGGGATCCAGTGGTTAAATAGGGTGAGCATTGGGATCCCCCGGGAGGAGGGCAGGCTCTGGGTCCGGGATCTGGAAATCCGAGGACTGTAGATCGAGAGGGGCGGACCAGGGTCTGGCACCAAATCTCGGTCCTCCGAAAGAGGGGATCGCCCAGGGACTGCAGGGGCAGGGAATCCCCCGGGCGCTGGTCTCCCTCCCAGGCGCGGGATCCACGGGGGGATGGATCCAGGTGAGGAGCCGAGACCTACACACACGGGAGGAGGTAGAATCTGGGACCCGCTCCTAGTACAGGCGGTGGCTTGGGGGCTCCATCCCTCTCACCGCTGGAATCGATTCTTGAACCGCATTGATCCTCAGCTCCTCCTCGCGGGCCGGGAGCTCCGTCTCGTCAGCGCCGGCGGCCGGGCGCGGGGCCCTCATGGGCTTGGGCTGCTCTGGAGGCCGCCCGGGTGCCCGGCGGACCGCTTGGCAGGGCAGGGCCGGAGTGGGCCAGGCCGGTGGTCGGGATAGGGCCAGGGCCAGACCGGGCGGCTGGGGGCGGGAGGGAGGCCGCTTAAACGGCGGCACCTCCCGCCTCCTGCCTCCCGCCTCCCGGCTTCTCCGCCCACAGCACCCGTGCCCCGCCCCGGAGCCGGGCTCCATCCCCGATGGCTCCGCCCACCTGCGTGCTCCCTCAGCTGTCAGCGCGTCACCACACTGGACAGCCAATCAGAACAACGAGCGGCGCAGTGGCAAAGCTGCCATTCATTTCTGCGCAGCCCGGGCAGAGAGGAGGGACCTAGCGGTGGAGGAGGGGGGCCGGTGGGTGGGAGGTGGAGAGGAAGGCTAAAAGGGTGGCTCGCTTCTGTGAAGGGTTTTGTTGCACCGTAAAAATCAAAGAGGCAAAGGGGAAAGAGAAATTATAAAGGAGGAGGTGGGCCAAGAATCATAAAAGCAATTGTGAAGAAAATAGAAACAAAGAGCCGTCGTCTGTATTGTAACCCTGGCTCTGTGTCATTCATTCATCACTCATTTCCTCACCCCTCCTCCGTGCATTTATTCCTTCACCATTTCGAGTGCCAGCTTCCTCTAGGCTAGAGTGAGAGGCTCCATCCAGGGCAGATTTAAAAACCTTTCCTTGTCTGTTATGTGATGAGGAGGTTGAGTTTGTCTTTCCCTGAGATTCAGTGGGAACCACAAACGGGGGTATCCTCTACAGGGACACTTTGTGCTGTCCTCCAATTTTTTAATTTTTATCTTTTAATCCAAGCAGTTTCCAAATAAGCCAAAAAGTAGACTTGAATCAGGGTCCTGTTGCTGAATCTAAATTCAGAGGGCTTCCTGGAAGAGAGGTTCTAAGGAAAGTGGATGAGGGGTGACTTTCTGATCCTTTCCCTTACCATTCCTGGAATTTAGGTGTGCTCCCCTCCAGGTAGCCTGTCCACACCCTTCCCTCTCCAACCCCAAACTCGCAACTCTCAAGAGGACATAAGGCCAGCCTATTAGGATTGTTTACTGTGCATGCAGTGGAGCACTGAAAATCTGGGAATTCTTTCACACATAATTCGAGTTTCTTTTCCTCTAACACCTTCCAAGGTGCCTCATATGGACAGTGTTTTCCATGGTAGTTTCATTAATTTCTCCCAGAACTCCAAGAGATAGGTATTATCTTACTCATTTCACAGACAAGAAAGATGAGAGGTTTAGAAACTTGCCAAAAGCAAAACTAGGATTTCTACCTAACTTTGTCTAACATTTAAGCCCCTAAATCCTTTCGGCCTCCCTAAGTTGTAAAGTAGTGTATTTCTTTTTTAAAAAACCACATTTTTTATTACACCAAGTCAGAAAAAATGAGCATGGATTGAAAGTTTACTTATCTGCTCTGTCAGGCCATGGGGCAAAATAAATTGGTAGGGAGAGGGAAATGTTACAAAGGAAATAACTAATAAGAACATTAAAATTAATGGTATGAAATAACATGAGAAGGGTAACAAAAAAAACCAATAAGCCAACAGATGCCAGGTCACGTCCTATCAATGACTTTGGAACATGCTGGGATAAGAAGCTATCAGAATGTGGTGGGCTAATTAGGGACAGGGGTGCAGGAAAAGTCTCCTTCTGGAAGTCTGGAGATGGATTCTGAAAGAGATGACATGGCATGACTTGGCACAGCCTTTCATGCACGGAGAGCGGCTTGAACAAAGATGAGAACTGGTGAGTACGGAGAAAATTTACGGGAGACCACTTAGGTTTAGAAACACCGTTGTGAATGGCATTGACCCAAGGGGAATCAGTGAGATACAAATCAGATTAAATTGATAGAATAAAATACCTTGACTGACAGTGGTCTCTTCCACAGAAATGCAGGACTATTAACTGAAAGTGGCTTGTTTACACAGTATGATCACAAATTCAAATCAGACTCCTTGTTGGTGAAACGCTCCCCCCAAAGTAAAAGCAATCCTCAAAAGATAAAAATACCAGAAACCGCTTTGAATTAATTTTTTAAACACCTGCCACATTTTTTTCCCAGTGGGGTGTCCTTTTGAATCTGTTCCTGAGGAGGAATCCTGAGTATGTTTGGAGAAAAGAAACACTAGGTTCAACTTAGAGATTAATGTGTGCAGTGGAGCAGAAGAGCGTGGCAAGTTTTTTGAACTAGCAGGACGTGACATTTTTGTTGAGCTCAGATATATGGTTCCTCTTTCTGCAAAACTGCAGACGCATGTTTGCACGGGCACTACCTATGCGGAGAAGAGAGGATTTGTAACGGAGCAGACACCAGCTCAGAGAAAACTCTTGGGAGAACACCTGCCCTGCTCGCTGAGGGGCGCAGAGTTCCCGGACAGGATGTGACCGCACTAGGAAGCACCTGGAACCTAGTTCTCTGGCTGTGATTGCCCAATCAGAAAGTAGCAGCTCTGCTCCAGACTGTGATTTCGGATGCCCCAGGAAGGTTGCCTGAACTTGACTACAGGTCTTGTTCTGTGGCTGGAGTTCAATCACTTTCTTTACAAAGATGACAAAGTCAAGCAGTGACTAAAATGCAAGTGTTCCCAGCCTTTCCCCTTTCCTAAAAAGAGGAATGCTGTCTTCCCTACTTCGTCTTTTGTCTACATCTCATGATGATACAGTCTGAATGTTTGTGTCCCCTCCCAATATTAATATGTTGAAATCCTAATGCTCAATGTGACGGTCTTAGGAGGTGAGGCCTTTGGGAGGTGATTAGGTCAACCACCACTCTCGTGAATGGGACGAATGCCATTATAATAAAGGAGGTCCCAGAGAGTTCCCTGGCCCCTCCCACCATGGGAGCACACAGGGAGAAGTCAGCAGTCTGCAGCCAGGAAGAGAGCCTTCACCAGAATGCGACTGCAATGTCACTCTGATCCTGGACTTTCAGCCTCTAGAGCTGAGGGAAGTAAATTTCTATTGCTTATATGCCCCCCGTCTTGACATTTTGTTGTAGCAGCCCAAATACACTAAGACCTGACCTTTGAGACCTGACCTTTGAGAAGTACTTGTCTCTTTCATGACTTGTTTCTGGACTTTCATGATGAAAAAAGTGGGAAGAAAAAGATCTGGAGAGAAAGGAAAGGCCTTGGTAGCTAGGCTGTATTGATCTACATGATGAAGATAAGAGGGGAAAAAAAACATTTCACAACCTAGGGGACATGGGTAAAGGTATTTTGTGAGGTGGGAGGAGTTTAGCTAAGTAAGAGGATTCATGAAATTGTGAGATATGAGAGAATAGGAAAGAGACTGTGAGAAGTTTTGCTAAGAGTATGAGTTGGATACCCTAATATTTTCCCTTCTTTATTGGTGCCCCTTCTTTATTCTTCGCTGTTTGGTTGTGTTTATTTGAAAGTGGTTTATTTCAGAGACTGGACCAGATGGAAGAGGGATGTGCTATGATTACACAGATTCAACTTTTTGAGTGTCTAACATGGGCTTGGAACTTCTACATCTATTAGCCGATTTTATTCTTAAAACTCTCTTGTGGAGTAGATAAGATCACGTCTACTTTATAGAGAAGACATGAAAGCTTAGAAGGGTTTTGTGAGTTACTGAAATTTATAAGTGCAAATGAAAAAGTCAAGATTTGAGCCCAGGCTCTCTGACCCCAAGCCCAGTGCTTTCCCCTCCAGCCCTTCTCAGGTTGGGCGGTGGCGGGTGGGGAGGGCCGGGTTGGACCACCTGGACTCAGATCTCTTGTGCCTGCTCTATGGATTTCTTCCCCTTAGAGGAAACACAAGCCTAAATGATTCTCTAAAAGCATAGACAAGTCAGGTCAACTGTTACTACAGTTGGCCTGTGGATCAACTGTAGTTGGAAAAGAGAATTATTGTGCATCACCCAAACATCTGTGTCTCCAAAGTTCTACATCCTGTGGGAGCTGCCGTATCTCTTTCTGCCAGACAACCCCCTTTCCCATCCAACGTTTCTTCTCCAGGCCAGGGGGGGGAACCCTCCCCCTCCAGCAGGTCTGTCTTCACATGTCCTCACGAAAAGGAATTTGGTCTTTCTCTTTTGGCTCCTATCATTTGCATCCCAACAATCACTCTGCTGAGCAACACCAAGGACCTTCCTGGGGATCTATCTTCCTTGGAAGACACAGGAAGGGAAGGGGTTAAAAATAACTAATAATGTATTATTTTTCGGTATCACACATTTGTCCAATGAACATTTGTTGAAAGTCTAATGGGCACACGGGTGCCAGCTGCAAAGTGGAGGAAGATGCCCTATCCTCAAGGAACCTCCAGGCGGTGGGAGAGAAAAACAATCAGGCATGGATCCCTGTTCAGTGTGTTAAGTGCTCTGATGGAGCATTGTTCGTGATGATAAGACTCTTTAATGATAACCGGTGGGGGAGGGAAGGGGGCTTTGAAGAGGAGAGGGCAGTGGGACTTAGTACCACGTGATTAGATGAAAGAGAGTCAATACGTAAGCGATAAAGAAGTTGGCATTCAAAGAAGACAGAGCACGGCCTGTGCAAAAGCACCGCATCTTTGAAGACCCCAATTCCACAGGACACGAGTGAAAGTCGTTTGTGAAGTACAGTGGGTGGAGAGGTGAGAAGGGTTCAGATTAAACAAAGGAATGCCTAAGTCAAGAAGACTTGGAGTTCATACTGAAAGCCGTAGAGACCCACTGAAAAACCTGAACCACAGACAAGGTGATCAGTTGTATATCTGGAAAGATCTCTGTGATAAAAGTGGTTCAGAGAGTGGCCGGAAGGGATGCAGACAAATTGTGGGT